TAAAGAAAAGTCTACCATAAAAGAAAAGAAAAAGTCTACTATAAATGAAAATACCTAAACTCTACTACATATTTAAAAAGTCTACCACTCACACAAAAACTAGGGTTTCTGGGTTTAGGCATACAGCCGCCGATAGCCGAGAAACAACCTTTCGACGACGAAATAGATGCATTTTATCACTTTTACTAAAGCAGGACAACTTTTTCATTGAACATTAACCCCAGCAATGATAGAAAACTCCAATAATCTATAACAAAAATCGTTTAATGCTATGAACACTAAATGTTTACCGCGGTTATGAATGTTCATACCAAATAATGTGTGGAACCGACGAAGCGAAGACGTCGCTATTACCGTTTGAACTCGCTTATGTCGCAAGACCAGCAGATTTATATCGAAACTCGCTCTTAAGTTTATGTTTTCTGCTGGGTTTTCACCTGCTTAAATATACTGTACTTTAGTTGGTAGATCTATAAACAGTACAAGTACATATGTTGGATTAATGGTAGACTTAGTCACCTATATGGTAGATTTGTTTGTAAATTGTTAGATTCAATATCAATGTGGTAGACTTAGTTATCGGGCAGTGCGATTTTACTTTTTTGCCCTGTATGTATTGTCTAATGTATGGAACAAAACCAGAGTCCATCTTCAACCTCTAGGTTTCGCCGTCGAGCTGTTAAACTTGGGATAACTCTTGCCTGTTGATTTTTTCCTCTCTTTTTGCAACAACATCTCCTTCTACTTCGATCTTGTGCCTCTTATCCACTTTTATATTCATGGATCAAGTTGTTTTGGTTTGTGGTAACTGGGTTTTAAAGAAAACGAGGTGGGTCTTCATCGTAGATCAGTCCAGGAGATGTAGTTTTATAGGGATAGACCGCAAAACGTCTTTTGCCGATTTGGTTGAAATCGCATATGAAGATTTCGGGTTGGATCAACATCTTTATGAGCTTCAGTTCAGCTATATGTTGTCGTCTGAAGTCCGGCGGAAATTACCTCTGGATACACCTCCTGTGTTTGTTGGTAATTCAAGACAGCTGCAGAGTTTTTTGCATCAATTCCAGAACGAAAACGAAACGGTTCGTTTATGTGTTGAGATTAAAGAAAAAGTTCAGAAGGGAGTTGTTGATGAAGACGAAGATCGAGATGCATGTCCTAGTCTAGTCCCTGAAGAACACGTGCGCCAAGATCGGCCGCAACAAGGTGTTGAAGTTGGACAAGACGAAGAAATGCATGAAGAAGAAGAGGATTTGTCAACCAGATTTGATGGATGTGAAGATCCTGATGGTGCAAGTTCCGATGACGAAGAGTACGGTAGACGTGAGAAACGTCCAGATGGTGAAAGTTCAGATGAGGAGGAGTTGCTAAATCTACCACCGAAGAAAAGGGGACCGACTACAATTCCCGACTTTCAAAGTCTAGAGCTTTCATCTTTAGACTTAGCCGTTGGCCAGCGTTATGAAACAAAAGAGGACTTCGAGATGCGACTCAAAATTCTTTCCATTGCTCACAGATTCGACTACAATGTCGATTATTCGAGTAAGAAATTGCTAACTGTTAAGTGTTGGGTAGATGGTTGCAAATGGAGGGTTCGCGCTTCAACTGTTGGGAGCAGCAAATGTTTTTGGGTTAAAACTTATACTCGAGAACACACATGTTCTGTGACTGTGCGATCACAACGCACCCGCCATGCAACCCATGAGGTTCTAGGCCGTCTATATAAAGACTTCGTCGGAGGTGTTGGCCCAAAAGTCTTACCAAATCACGTCGCCGAAGCTCTGACAAAACGATATAGTATAAAGGTATGTGGTAGAGTTATATTATTTTTCTGGTAGAGTTATTATCTCTTTAGTAGACTTTTATTATTTTTGGTAGAGTTTTTATTAGCTCAATTGGTAGACTTATTTTATTTTTTGGTAGAGTTATTAAATTATTTGGTAGACTTATATTATTTCTTTGGTAGAGTTATAAGCTCATTTGGTAGACTTATATAATTTATTTGGTAGACTTATATAATTTATTTGGTAGAGTTATTATCTCCTTTGGTAGACTTATATAATTTTGTGGTAGAGTTATTATCTCACTTGGTAGAGTTATTATCTTTATGGGAGAGTTATTATCTCACTTGGTAGAGTTATTATCTCATTTGGTAGACTTCACTATATTATTTCTCATTCTCAGGTTGACTATTGGAAAGCACATCGGGCCCTAAAGTATGCTCGAGAACTAGTATCAGGGACGTCTGAAAGTGGTTATGAAGATCTGCCTTCATACTTATATATGATTCGGCGAGCAAATCCGGGTACACTAATCAAGCTAGAAGTTGATGAGGAAGATAGATTCAAATTTATGTTCCTCTCATTTGGCGCAATCATACAGGGGTTTCCCTTCATGAGGAAAGTGGTAGTGGTCGACGGTACGTTTTTACATGGAAAATACAAAGGTACACTACTACTCGCCACCACGCAAGATGGAAACTTCAACATTTTTCCCGTAGCCTTTGCTGTTGTTGATACTGAGAACGATGAGTCTTGGGAATGGTTTTTTTACACAACTACACCGTGTTATTCCTGATGATGAAGGACTTGCCATTATTTCTGATAGGCATAAATCCATAGGAAATGCTATAGGGAAGGTTTATCCTCTTGCTAGTCGGGGTATTTGTACATATCATCTCCATAAGAACATTATGTTGAAATTCAGAGGCGCTGAAACATTCAAGCTTGTTAAGAAGGCTGCCACTACTTATAGACTTCTCGAGTTCAATGCCCTTTTTGCTCAGATTCAAGAGGCAAATCCTGCACTGCATGCATACTTGGTGAAGGCAGATATTTGTATGTGGAGTCGTGTACATTTCCAAGGTGATAGGTACAATTTCACCACTAGCAACATAGCGGAGTCATTAAACAAGGTGCTATCTGCTGCAAGAGGTAAGCCTATTGTATGACTAGTGGATGATATAAGGAGTCTCCTGACCATGTGGTTTGCTAAAAGACGTGTCAATGCCAATAACATGGCTACCACTCTAACAACGGGCGTTGAGAAGTTGCTGGAGGTAAACACTACTTTACCTTGTAGACTTTCTATTATTTGGTAGACTTGTATCTGCTATTAGGTAGACTTTCTATTATTTGGTAGACTTACCTTTGCTATTAAGTAGACTTTCAAATTTGTTGGGCTTTCTTTTTCCTTTAAGGTAGACTTTCAATTATTTGGTAGAGTTATATCTTCTATGTGGTAGACTTATATAACTTCTAAATAATTCCTTGCCGACAGGCTAGAGTTGAAGATGCTAAACTCTTACCTGTGCAAGAGATTGATCAGCATCGTACAGAGGTTTTAGGCACAACATCTGCACATGTTATCAATTTAACGGAGAAAACATGTACTTGTCGACGGTTTGATTTGGATAAAATTCCTTGCGTACATGCCATAGCTGCCGCCGATAGGAGGAAGTTGTCGTTGATCTCTCTTTGCCATCATTACTACCACACTAGTTACTTGCAACAAGCGTATGCTGTTAGTGTAATGCCAAGAGACGTAGCACTCCCTGTGCCAGATGAAGTAGCTACCAAAATTTTTCTCCCGCCTGATGTTCGCAACCGACCCGGCAGGCCACAGAAAATTCGGATTAAGGGTGCGTTCAAGGCCGCCATGGCGAGTAAACGTCCTCGGAAGATCCTCAAATGTGGTAACTGTGGCCAAGGCGGACATAATCGCCTAACATGTCGAGCTTAGTTGACAAATCGAAAACCTTGTGTTTATACTATTATATACTGCAATAATCCGCTTGCAAAACCTTGTTTTATGTACTTGTAAATCTGGAACTTGTTTTATCTAAACTCTACTATTTTACAATAATAAATCTACCAATCATGTTATAAATCTACCAATATTGCAATAACTCTACCAATCATGTTATACATCTACCATTCATGCAATAAATCTGCCAATCATGTTATACATCTACCATTCATGTAAAGCAATAGCAGGTTCCTTTTACAGCAGCATCTACTCGCTTTAAATTCCAAAACACAAGCGACGTCTAAATTCCAAAAGACCACCAAAGAGGCTGGCTATGAGTAATAAATCTACCAAAATACAACATCCGATACCAAAAGTCTACCAATTAGTTTGGATCTGAGTATTAAATCTACCAAAAAACGATTTCAGATCCCAAAGGTCTACCAAACCAAGATCTCAGTTAGCGGAGTCTGTCTGTAAACCGTACTTGTCATCAAATAAACTTCGAGGGTTTGGATCAGACATCCGGGATTCTTCTGCTTCATGTACCTCATCAAAAATCTCAGCTGCGTATTTTATACGAATGAGAGGCATGTTGCTATCTTTCAGCTGGTCCCATTTATGGCACAAAGCCAAACACTCAATGGTCTTCAAAGTAAAGACGCCACAATCACCTGATAACAAGTACCCGATAATTAGTTAAAAGTCTACCAAATAAAAACACCAAATCTACAGAGCTGCATTGCACCTGTCTATCTGTTTAGTGCCGCTGTTTTATACATGTAGATATGAAACTGCCCCTCCTTCATACCCTTCTTGAGCTCCGGTGGTGCCATATGTTTCAACAACAGCGGAATCATCCTCGCGTAGGGCTTCACAGACTCCTCCACCTCGCCTTTTCTGTATAAATCTGGAATGCAATCAAACACTCGGATCTTTTTTTGGGAATGTCGACCTCAACGGCTACCCAATGTTCGTTGTTCACGTTGTGGGCGATATACACGAAATCAACATCTGTCCCCCATTTCTTGTGTGTAGGCAAGTAATGGTCGTAGTGACCGTTGGCAACGTCCAAATAACCATCACTGAATATCCAACTCTTCTCGTTTGGTAGAAATTTGGTTCGATAGTCTCCACACCAAACTCGACAAAAGATAGGATCAATGAAAGCAACTCTTCCCCCTTTGTAAGGAGATGGATACCGCATAGACCGTTGCCGGAACATGTCTAATCCTTTGCACGCTGCATTAGGTAATGAAACAAATTTATATAAGTCTACCAACCAGCTTTACAAGTCTACCAAACATAATAGAATACAAGTCTACCAGACATACTGACTAAATCTACCATTTGTTACTACATAATAGAATACAAGTCTACCAAACATAATGACTAAATCTCCCATTTGTTACTACAAGTCTACCAAACAAGTCTACCAAACATAATGACTAATTCTATCATTAAGTTTCCAAAGTCTACCAAACAATTTCTGAAGTCTACCAAACCTTTTGAAACTAAGATCGGGTGACTGATACGACCACATACCTGATCATGCAACCACCCATACTCCTTTCTCGGCCAGCTTTCTTTAGGGGTCATTAGTGTCACGTAAAATTCTCCTCCTGCATATGGACTCTCCAACTGTTTTTCCCTGAAAAATGACATAGACATACCAGACTCCGAAGTAAGTCTACCAACATACCTAATAAGTCTACTATATAAAACAAATAGGTCTACCAAATCAAACAAGTAAGTCTACCATGGAAATTTAAAACTGACTTACGCTTCAAAAGCTACGTAGCGGGTTAGATTATCGAGTATTCGACTGTCCACCGCTTCAAAAGGATCATACCTCCCAGGAGGGGGACCTGCTGGGTCCATGATGCGTCTCACCACTGAGTTACCAAGGTAGGGTGAAACCTGGGTCGGGGCAAGGCTGCGTCCCCTTTTTTCCTTCTCAGCAGGTGGATTTTTTGCATGTTCCACCAGCTTATCTAAGCGTTTCTTCATAGCTTCAATCGCTGAGTCGTCTTCATCTTGCAGGGAAGGGATCTGTACTCGTCTAGACTGTACTGGGCGTGAAACGTCGCTTATATTGATTATCTGGCTTTCTTCATTTTTGTCTTTTAAATCAGGTTTTGACTTTGTGCCTGATTGATTCTTCTCTTTAGGATCAGCAAGTTCTTTTTTCACTTTGGTTACAGTCTTTCCTCTCGACGCTGGGTTTCTAACAACTCTTGCAACAGGAAAACCTGGCTCTGATGTTTCCTGCATCTCCATCATCCACGACTGCTTGGCATGTATAGTAATTTCAAATCAGTCAAACCAAATAATAACATAACTAAATCTACCTAAAAATCTACCGAATTAATTATAAATCTACCTAATATAAATATCACTGCCAAACTATGTAAAAATCTACCACATAAAGTTAATCTTGTATTCCAAGAAAACATTAAAAGTCTACTGTGCAGGAAAAGTTAAAAAAAAAACCATCATACAGTCTACCAAGTAAAAAAGTATTTCGTACAAATTCTACCATAAAGGAAAGGAAAACGAT